CTTCTGAGTTTAGCTGGACTGTTATTAAACAACTTTTCAGGTCATAACACACACAAAACCTACTGTATAACATAAATAAAAGAAAAACATCAGTGAAAATAATGTCTTAAGTAATATCCCAATATAGAAGTATCAACAACTCATTGTGCTCTTAAGGTTCTTTCTGAACACAGAAAATTTAGCCAACAAGATGCATAAAATCTGAACTGTTTTTTAAAAATGTTCAGATGTCTAAACTTGCAATTACAGAAATTGTCTAAAGCTTTTCTGTAGAGATCAATGAGCCAAATGAGCTTTTATTTCTGCCCCAAATAATTTCAAATACAAAGGGGAACATATTTAGAGCACTATGATGTGTTACAAAGACACAGAAATGGTCAAATTACAACCTCCTACATAGAATTTTGTGATTTAAGGGGGAAATAAAATATGGTCAAGCTGCATGTAAACAATGCTCCTATGAAGACAATTCAGTTGCTTGGTTAGCCATATTTTAACAGAAGAAATTTATCTGGGTCATACTAAATATTGTCAATGAGGAAGTTATGTAATGTAAGTGAGTCTAGGCCAGCTGCAGCCAGCAGATCAAATGTGACCCATGGGACGTTTCCATTCATCCAGCTGCTTCTTCTCTAGGACATGGAATAGTTCAATCTAGGAAAAGACAAATCAAACTAATCTTGTAATGATAATCTATACTAATCTAATAGTATCTTATACTTGTTTGTAGCACAAATTTGAAAGATCTTTTACCTGTGCTATAGCTGGAAGATAGAAGTATTGAGACCTATGAGACAGTGACTGTCTTGTTCCCACAGGAGAAGTCCTTCAGTAATTGCTGCTAGGTAATGAGAGGCAGCCCAAATCATAAAATCATAAAATGGCTTGGGTTTGAAGGGACCTTAAAGATCATCTAACTCTGCCATAGGCAGGAACACCACCCACTAGATCAGGTTGGCCAAGGCCCCATCTAACCTAGCCTTGAACACTTCCAGCGATGGGGCATCCACAGCCGTGCTGGGGCAACCTGTTCCAGTGCCTCACTACCCTTTGAAGAATGTAATCCTAATGTCTAATCTAATCTATTCCCTTTAGGTTAAGACCATTCTTCTTTGTCCTAACATTATCTACCCATTATCTACCCTCTCTATCATTTTTATAAGATCTCTTGAAGTATTGAAAAGTCACAGTGAGGTCTCCCTGGAGCCTTCTCTTCTGTAAGTTGAAGAGCCCCAACTCTCTCAGCCTTTCTTCACAGGAGAGGTGTTTCCAGCCCCCTGGTAATCTTTGTAGCCCTCCTCTGGACTTTTAAAGCCCTGCTAATGAGTCTGGCCAGCTTACTTCTCAAATGCCCCTGCCTCACTTGGTCAGGAGCTCCCCAAAAAGCATTTTCACGATCATAGAACTGCAAAGCTAAACATGGCACCAGCTATGCAGCCAATCATTCACCTGATCCGTATGCTACCTCCTCCTTGGTTCCTAGTCTCCAACTGGGAGGACTGAGGAGAACACTGCTTGAGCTCCTGATCCCTTCAGCATCTTTCCAAGGGACATAAAGTACTTTGTCTTGTTTTGGAGTCTTCTTCTTGTGGCCTCAGTTGTCCCTATGTGAAAGAGCAGGAACAGGTGATAGTCCTATGTCTTAACCAAAGTTCAGTTCTAAAATCTGCTCCATGTCTCTGCAGTTCCTAAGGATGGATTCTACTGTAATAAATGATCTAATATAAACAAAATATGGAAAACTGTTTCTGCAAAGCATACAGTTTTTCTTCACTAAAGGATGGGCCATGACATCCTACCTTTGCTGAGGGAGAATGCTAAGCTGCTAACAGTTAAATATTCAGGACTTCCAAACCACTTAGAATTCTTCTTTCTGTATATTAATTTATCTACTATGAAGACTTTATTTATTTATTTATTTATTTATTTATTTATTTTTATTGTCAGAGATCTAGGAATAATAGATTTTTAGGTAATAGTGCAATGTTTAGCAGAATAGATTTAGAATACAGTAGAGGTGCTAGGTTAATAGACATTTTATACAACATTGGTAATGTCACTTACTAAACTTTCAGATCTGGACAGTGAAGTTTCAAGAATTCTCACCAAACAAATATTTACATGAAAAATCCACTTCTGAAGGAAAATGTTTGTTTTACCTATCCACTGCAAACATTATGAAACACAACTCTTGTATGAACTGGCACATTTCTCAATCAAATAAACAAACAAAACCAAAAACAAACAAACAAACAAAAAAACATAAATACATCATGAATGATTATAGCTTTTTGTTATGCTCAGGTTCCACAAATACTTCTGGCTTCTGTTCCCAGCTTCTCACTTCTGTGTTATGGCAGGAACATAATGCAGAGATGTCTCATATTCATCCTCTTCATTGAAAATTACTGTTGGGTACCCAGAAGAAAGACCAAATCAAGAAGGTAATATCCTACACACCTGAGTATGTACCTACCATGTAACTATATGACTTAAAACTAGACCAGGAGAGACTTCAGTTTCAGTCAATATGAGAAATGATTTAAATTCACAGTTGTAACCAATTTCTGGTTTTGAAGGAGTCAAAGATTTTAGAAAGGGAAATTACTGTTTTTTAAGAGATCAAAGGAAAAAAACCTCAGTGTTCTGAACAATTTGTAGGGTCAGCTTTGGCCAGTGCTGCTGTAAGATTCCCAAATCAATTATGATTATGAATGATGAATTCATAATAGAAAAGTGAAAGATAAGTTGTTGACAATTTTAGCCTTCACAGTTTCAGTTTCTGTGAAACTTAATATCTAATTGTACTCTTTGAAACACGTTGTCATTGGGATGAGCCTAAAATTGGAAAGCAATACTTCATTTCCAATTACTTTTTTTTTTTTTCCCAAATTATTTTTTATTTATCAGAGCTACTATGCATGCTCTGCAAACTGGATGTGTATGTCCAATAGTATATAATGAAAGTGCAACTTCTACATGGAGTCATAGTAGTGTTAGTGTTAATTGACTCTATAATTAATTGCTAATGATCTACTGTGTATACTGTGGTAATAGTATACAATAGGTGGATGATAGTTTGAATTCAGTGAGGGTTGAATATCATAAGCAAACTGAAACTTAATAGCTCTACCAAGCTGAATTTTTATAAAGATTCTAAAGGAGAATATAACCCTGTTAGCAAGTCTGGTCATGCTTTGATTTTCTCTTACTGTCTGAGAGATGCATTCCATTTCTACCTAGGAGATGGTGAAAACAACACTGAGGATCATGAAACAATGGTTTCTGAGTGAAAGGAAGAATTACTATTGTTTTTTTAAGAGAGTTCTTTAGTTTAAAAATGTGATGAAGTAAAACAGAAAGTGCATATGCCACACACCCCCCCCCCCCACTTACCCCACCCCTACCCCCCCAGGTCATTTAAGGGATGCATGTTTCATAGTTTTAGCAAGCTGGATTTTCTAGCAGTGTTCTTTGATGCAGATACCACAGCTATAAACAATGATAAACATCAGTTAATAATTAAATCCAGTTGCTTGTGAGCTAAACTAAATAATAATAATAACAACAACAATAAAATAATAATGAGGTAGTTTCTTCCTTCATTCCTTCCTTCCTGCCTTCCGTCCTGCCTTCCTTCTTCCTTCCTTCCTTCCTTCTTCCTTCCTTCCTTCCTTCCTCCTTCCTTCCTTTCCTTCCGTCTCCTTTCCTTTCCTTCCTTCCTTTCCTTCCTTTCCTTTCCTTTCCTTCCTTTCCTTTCCTTTCCTTTCCTTTCCTTTCCTTTCCTTTCCTTCCTTTCCTTGCCCTTTCCTTTCCTTTCCTTTCCTTTCCTTTTCCTTTCCTTCCTTTCCTTTCTCTCTCTTCTCTTTCTTTTCTCTTTCTCTTTCCTCTTCTCTTCTCTTCTCTCTTTCTCATTTCTTATCATTTCAATATATTAAGATATTTGGGGATGCATTCATCTTCAGTATGTCCTATGTATCTGGACAGCAGCTATCAGTTTCTGAGGTGTCTGTCTAGTTCATCATCAGAATCAGTTGAGATACAGCAAAAACAACCAGTACAACCTAGGGAATGATTCATTTCATCCTGAAGCTGGCATCTACACAAAGGACATACTGGTTAAACAAATATACACTTCATTGAGTGGAAACAGAAAACATAGCTGATACACCTGTCTTGTATTAATTGATACAATGTTGACTTATAGAAATATTGACTTATAGAATGTGAAATTAATCCAGCTGTTAGCATTCAGCAGAATGACTACTGCTTTAATGCAAAGACATGAAGTTAGGTGACTCCTACCATAAATATTTCTTTATCCAGTTTAGTATTTCATGGATAATAAGGAAACAAATATATATCAAGAAATAATGTAAAATATTTCTTTTATTGTATTTTTGTCAGAATGATTCATGTTAGTTCACTTTCTTTCTTCAAGAATAGAAGATTTACCAATTACCAGTAGATGCTGTTAATATCATTAGTGATAATAGCGAAATTATCACTAGCAAATAGTGAAAATAGCATTTTAACACCCCATTAAAATATTTTCAAGGAAAAAAAGTTTAGATTTACTCCCTGTGTTACAGCTTCATCCAAACATGACAAATTTTGTCTATATGAAGTTGTGAACTGTAAAGTTTCTTTCTTTTGATCCTGTCGTAGTAGTTTAATTTGCTTTCTGTTGTATTAGTTGCCTGTGTTTTTGTTGGTTTATGCAAGTGAGTTGCATGTGCTGTAAAGAGTGCAGTTAAATCAATGGAGGACAAAGTAATACGAAGCGTGTCATTTAGCTCAAGGAGATGTTTTAATGTTCTTTTCCATAATTTCATGGAGAACACAAACATCCTTTTTTTCATGCATGGTTTCATTCAAAATTAACTTTTATCATCCTTTCATTAGTTCAGTACCATAACTAGGTATAGGTTTTTTGTTTGTTTGTTTTGTTATTATTATTATTTTTTTTTAATAAAGAGAAGATGTTATCATTTAGCATATTTTAATTATCTTTCTCCATGTGGAAAGTTCCTAAACAGATTTAAAGTAGGATTTTGATATTTTTTCTTTCTCCAAGCTATGTCTCTGTTTTAGCATTCATCTAACAGACTAATTTCTCCTCTAAATAAATGGAAACATTTTACTTTTTATGTACAATTTGTTCACAAGTCAATATATTCTAACGTTAACTGAATACATTTAATCTATTACATTAAATCTAGTAAATCTATTAGATTAATTCTTAATCTGAGAGAACCCTAAAGTAGGCATTAAATAAAATGTTGTCCTTCCTTTGTAGAGTTCTTCTGTCTTTCTTACTTGGCAAAAAATTTCCTTAAGCATGACTAGATAAATATTTCCCATCAAATACAAATATTTTGTATTCAATTAATTTCATCAGTACTTATCACATCAAAGAATCTTCCTTCATATAAAGCGTAACTCTTACTGAAATTAAAGTTCTGTGTTCATCACTTCTTAGCTATAAAATTGTAGTGCACAATTGAGTCTTATTACATGTTTTTTGATATTTTTCAAACTGCTGTGAGACACATTCGTCTTAGCACCAAAAACTCTGAAAAAACCTTAAAATGGTGTTTTAAATAAACTTTGTTTTTGTTTTTGTTTTTTTAAATAACCTATGACCCCTTTACTCAATACTAAGTTTTAAACTCATATTTACTCTTTTTCAGTCATATATATAAGAAAAAATCACACTATATTAAGATAGTGTCAAATACTGCCCTTTTTCTCTTGATATAGGCAAGAGTTCCCTTCCCTTCCCTTCCCTTCCCTTCCCTTCCCTTCCCTTCCCTCCCTTCCCTTCCCTTCCTTCCCTTCCCTTCCCTTCCCTTCCCTTCCCTTCCCTTCCCTTCCCTTCCCTTCCCTTCCCTTCCCTTCCCTTCCCTTCCCTTCCCTTCCCTTCCCTTCCCCTTGGTCTGCCAATGCCACCTACCAAAGGTAAACAAAGTAAGCTAATTTACAGTTATAAATCATTCATTTTCCATATAATATTTGTAGAAGCCTTCAGGAAATAAAATGGTAAAATAATAATAATTTAAAAAAAAATCTTTGGTTGATGGTAATAATAATATCATTTGAAAAAAAAAATAAAAAAAGTTAGCTAATATCCTTAGTAGCTGGGATAGAATACATTTTATGCAATCTATTCAGAAGTATGAGACAATAAGCTATAGGACAACACTTTTTTAGGCAAAAAAATGAAATTTGGAAAATATAAGGAAAAATTGGAAAATATAAGGAAAAATTGGAAATTTGGAAAATATAAGGAGCAATGATCGTGGAGGTAAAGGGGATCCCTGGTAGAATTTTGAAATCAGTGAAATCAGAAAATATATCAAAAAAAGAAAGAACTTTTCTCAAGCAAAAATACTCTGCAATTAATATATATTTTTAGCAAAAATAAAATGATATCTCATATATCATATCATGATATCATGATATCATGATATCATGGTATGAAACCCTTTTGCTTTTCTCACAGTCATCTCTGCTTTGCTAGTTCTAATCTATTTCTCTGTACTCTGTTCACTGTACTACTCCTTAGACTTGATTCTATAGAGATTCTAAATTCTAAACACATATAGAATTTAGAATCTATAAAGATTCTAAATTCTAAACACATTATTAGAATCTGGATAGATTTTCAAGACATAACCAAAGTCCAGGTTTGACTGTTCTCAGAATACTGGTCCATAGTATAGATTCAATAAGTCTCCATAGTAAATAACAAGGAACATCTCTTTTGAAGGCTCTGTTTCAGAAAAGAGTCTGTAATGGGAAAATTGACAAGACTTCCAAGCTATGATGGAAGAATTTTGTTCTATCAAATTTGATTCCTAGAGCAAGTATATTTCTGGCTTATCTTCAAAATAAATGCATTTTGAAAATAACCGATGAGATCACTTAAGAATCCCTAGCTACCTAAAGTTGAAGATACAAATACTGCACTTACATTCTCCATGGATTTTGTATCATATTGCATTCCCTTCACAATCTAGTGTCTGCAGAGTCATGTAGTCAGTTGTGGATGGTTGACTAGAAACTGCCTTTTGCTACAACTTCTTCAACAATAAAGGATTTTAAAACACCTGGAAAGGACAGTAGCCTGACCTTTGAGAAAATCCTCTGTATAGGAAATTTGGACAAAAATTTCTTTTAAAATGCTTCTTTTTTTTTTTGTGACCATATTTTTTTCATTAGAATTTGTGATTTTCTGTTCTTTGATTTGAAATTTGATCTGTTACATGATGCTTCAAATTGTAAATTTAAGTGTATACTGAAGGATGAAGACTTGATTCACTTTCAGGTAAGAAAATAAAAGTACCAATGCTTACCTTAGAAATCCCTTCACTGAGAACTAAGTTATACAGTTTGCTTTTGAGCCTTTGACATGAAATTCTGACACAGAGGAATAATTTCTGGACACATAGACAAGGTTATGCACGCTTCTCTCACAATTTGAGATAATGTCATCATTAGCTAATTTAGGAGGAAAAAAAATGAAGATAAAAGGAAATTAGATGTTAATTCCATTTTAATACCATTTTCAGAGTGCACAGTTCAGGATTTATGGCTAAGGGAAAGAATGTACTCTGTTCACCAAAACTCATTGGATCTGAATAATCACCTTATATCCTCAGGCATGTTTTAGCATCAGGGAGACAGATCCTTTTCTGTTAAACACCTTAAGTCAAAGACAGTATGGGAAATCAGGGAAAACAGAGATTTATAATGAAGAGAAAAAAGGAAAAGAATTGTTACAAAGCTTTTATAATGAGTTATTTAAAGAACTGGAGAAGGTAGAATTAATTTACATGAATTAACTGTTTAAACAACTGAACCACAGTTTTAACCATGTAAGCTATGTAAACTATTTAACAATAGTTTTAATAGTAAAGCATAGTTTTATAGCTCTCAGTTCTTTCAAGATGACAGACCAGGAAATCCTGTTAGTAGTAACCCAAACTGTGTATGTGTTATATATCATTGCTCATATGAACAACATCTTTTCAGTTCATATAAATTTTACCTAAATATGTCTCTTATTTCTTTAATCTGCTAACATTGTGTAATAAAATAAATACTATGTAGATATAATAATATGAAATATGCAATTTGATACAAAAAATAACAAAAAACATGACAAAGCTTGTTAAATTGTTAGTTTAACAATTCAAAATTTGCCTATCCTTGAGATGTTCGCACGCATTACGTTTATCAAGGTCATAGAATGGAGTGGATGGAGTAAGTATTACTGGTAAAAGTATAAGTAATGATTATTGCAACAGGAAACTACATCTGAGACATTTGTGTAAAAACATTCCAACTTTCCATTTGTTTTAAGACAAACAAAAGTACACTTTTGTGTACTGAGTCCAATGTTCATCAGTTATACTAACTGACAATTGAGACACAATATCTTAAGAGGCTGTCTTTTTGTCTAATTCATGTTTATGTTTTTTTCTGTAAGTATCTCCAGTAAAAATAAATCAATTTTTATACTGTGATATTTTTTCTTCCTCCATTATGAGTTTGATACATATCCTTTATAAAGCATTATGCAAATATATTTTTTATCTGTAAAACACCAATTCCTTTCTGTGGGAAAACAAAACAAAACAAACAAACAAACAAAAACCAAAAACAAACAAAAAATATAACAGCCCACTATGAAACATTTTTAAAAGTATATAATAGAAGTCTATTAAAAAATGTAAATCCATGATAGCAGTCTATTTTCAGCAATTTGCCTAAAACATAAGGACTTCAGTGATACCCTTCAATATTTTACAATTTTATATGGATAAAGTCTTCAGCCTTCCTGATTATTTAAACAGGAATTGGAATGTACTAATGCTTCTGGGAAGTTGAAACATTTCAAGAGAAACTAGGAATTATAGTTCCTTCTTTCTTTTGTAATGTAGATGTTTGTTATGAAGACATTTATAAGAGGTCTAAAAGAAACAGCATGTGATGTAGAAAGTATTTTACACTTTCCATCACAGTCATTTTCTGTTTTGTTTGTTTTTTTTTTTTTAATAAAAATGTTCTAAACGTTCTGTAAAATGCTTGCTGATGTAATTAGGTGCAATATGAAAGATTTGTGTCCTCATGTAGGAGAAAATTTCATTGTTTAGGGCAACAAATCTGGTGAGGGGTCTGGAGAACAAGTCTTATGAGGAGTGGCTGAGGGAGCTGGGATTGTTCAGCCTGGAGAAAAGGAGGCTCAGGGGCAACCTTATTGCTCTCTATAGGTACCTTAAAGGAGGCTGTAGCGAGGTGGGGATTGGTCTATTCTCCCATGCACCTGGTGACAGGACGAGGGGGAATGGGCTAAAGTTGTGCCAGGGGAGTTTTAGGTTGGATGTTAGGAAGAACTTCTTTACTGAAAGGATTGTTAGGCATTGGAATGGGCTGCCCAGGGAAGTGGTGGAGTCACCTTCCCTGGAGATCTTTAAAAGACATTTAGATGTAGAGCTTAGTGATATGGTTTAGTGGAGGACTGGTTAGTGTTAGGTCAGAGGTTGGGCTAGGTGATCTTGGAAGTCTTTTCCAACCTAGACAATTCTGTGATTCTGTGAAAATAACTACGACTTGAGAAACATGGAAAAAAATATGATTATAAATATTTTCTGTAGAAATAGGATAAACTCATGAAATATAAAATCAATACGCAGAAAAAAAAACGTGCTGTCATCTCTGAATCCCTTATATAAATAGAAAGCAGAGAGATAGACAGATTTTGTTTGGAACTACTTTGACTCCAAACTCTTAAATGTTGGCAATATGCTTTTAGCAGCTATGCTTTTAGAACTAGAAAATCTTATCTTCTGACAGGAATCTCTGATTTTTATTCTGTATTTCTGTATTTTATTATTATTATTATTTATATTTTTTAAAATATATGTCTGTATTTTATTATTTAAATAGTCTTCCCTCCAGAAGTCCAGGGTGGCAGTTCTGCTAACCCACCTCCTTACAAGAATTGAAAAACATTAGTTCATGACCACTATGCCCAAGACAGCCTCCAACCTTTACATCACCCCTACAGGTCCTCTGTTCTCCAGCAAAAGATCCAGTGGGATCCAGAGCTGTGCTTTGTTGGCTCACTCACCAGCTGTGTAAGGAATTTATTTTCCACACGTTCTAGGAACGTCTTAGACTGTTTCCTGTCTGCTGTTTTATTTTCAGCAGACGTGGTGAGCTGAAATCCCACATAAAAACAAGGGCTAGTTATTTCAAGACTTCTCCTAGTTGCTTATAGAATATTTTGTTTGCCTTTTCAGCCTGGTTGGGTAGTCGATAGCAGACTCTCACCATGGCATCTGTCTTACTGACCTTCCCCTTAATTCTTACCCACAAACACTCAACCGTGTCATCCTCATTGTTCAGCTCTAGATGATCAAAATGCTCCCCATAGAGGGCTACCCCACTGCCTCTTTTTCCTAGCCTGTCTCCTAATTGGAGTTTGTAGTCATTCATCACAGCACTCCAATTGTGCAAGCCACCCTACCATGTTTCTGTGATGGCAACCATGTCATAGTTTACTTGCTGCACAATGGCTTCCAGTTTCTCCTGTTCATTGCCTGTACTGTGTGTTGGTGTAGGTGTACTTCAGCTGGGATAGCAAACCTGTCACCTTTTAGTGATTTCATATATATATTATATATTTAGTGATTTCATATTATATTATAGTTCTACTTTACATCTGTGACTTGAAAATACATATTACCCCATACAAATGAGAACATGAGACAGATCATTATTCTTACTGATTTCTCATTTAAAATTTCTCCATCTGCATATTGTACATTCCAAATTCTACATAACTACATGTTCTCATTCTACGTATCTACGTACTCTACCCTTGTTAACCTTACAGCTTTCTGTTGCTACATAGGTACAACATCTAATGATTCAAAAATGAGACAAAAAGGAAAAATTCACTACAAGAGAGGCATGTAGCTTCAGGACTTTTCCACCAAAGTGTTTTAGACTTCAATTTATGTTTCTTCTAAATGTTTAATTTGAGATTAACTTCTGTTTCTATTGTAGCATTCACATGTTTAGGGATTTTCAGGATTCTTTTACTTGCCTATATCAGTTAAAAAAATCATTAAATTGAAGTTTCTGTAATGAACTTCAGATAAGCATGCACAAATTTCATCTTTTATTTGATTCATATGGAATTCTTAAATATAGTGACTTGGTTCTCCCATCTTTCTCTATCTATTTTTCTGTTTCTCTCTGCTTGCATAAGAGCTTTTTTCTCCTCTATCCAAATTGTTTATTTTCATGCTACTTTGGGAGTATTTCCAGATAATCCTCATTTATTATATGATTGGCTACTTGCCATTCCATGTGTTTGGCAGAGCATTGAACAGACTGGCATTGCATTCCAAATTAGGTCTGTTTATATTTACGGGATGTTCATTAGGTTACAAGACTCAGTCATTTGACTCAGGGGATAAACCTAGACAACTTTTGACTTAATTGTTGTCTTGATATCTCCACTCTTTAACATATTTGTTTACTACAGGATGTTTTTGAATATATATGATTCTTTTTTCTTTTATAGAGTGATACAATCTGTTTTAAGCGATCTCCATGTCAACTCATTATGACAGCTAGTGCTGAAATCAATGAAATCAACAAGCACGTTGAGATCTGTCATTCCTCAAAATTTGTTTTCTAGCAGTAAGGCCATCATCTTCCAATACAAAAGCCAAACTGTCCAAACTAAAGTGTCTCCCTTATTATGGACAGGCTGTAGACACAATGCACTAGATAGTTCAGAGCTGAATCTGTGGTGCTTGAACTGTTGTATTTCCCTCTGACATAGTCATGCACACATTCACATACATGCATACAGACATACACACAAATTTATATGTATAAATATAATTAAGACTAGGCTCTCCTTTGCAAATCATGATCATTTCAGAACTTGATGCCAATTAAGCTTGTTTTATTCTTGTCTCCTGATGTGTTTCAAGTACTGCTGAAAGCATTTCACAGACTAAAATTTTGGTATCATTCAGTAAAATGACAGAGCTCTTTGAAAACTATCTATAGCCTATACTACACTGTCCTTTTTATAGCAGTGCCAATGTGCTCAAACTAAAGTCATATAATTTCCTGTCTACTGTAACCCCAAGGACCTATCAGCAGAGTTTCTCCTTCCAGTGGTATGTATCATTTTCTTATTTCTCATGTATTTCTTAACAGTTTTTCAAGGTAATTCTCAAAGTTATAGTAAGCCATTGGAAGTTTACTAAATTGTTTCTATGTTTCTTAACTGTGAAGTACTGTAAATTTGACCAAGTTGTTGATTGCCCAATGTTTCTTTTGGAGAAGTTTTGATTCTTTCATAATATCTTCCTCAGCTAAAATACATCTGAAAACAGTTTAAACATCCTTATAAACATTTAGGTATGTTTTAGCTGCTTACTTGTCAGTTTACAGTCCTATCAATTATGGGAACAAACTTTATCAAGTTTAGCTCATCCTAAAAACAATTTTCCTAAAAGTTTACTACATATTTTTCTGTATGACTTTTGTTAGTTTGCTGTTACTGACCTCTATGTAAGGCTATTTTTTCTTTATTTTAGCTCCATATTCCCCATTTAATTCAGAATTGCCTAAACATACTCAGAAGGATTCAGCTTGCTTTTTATGGTATCAGCATCGGTAAACATCAAGACTGCATCTGAGTATAGGTAGCTTCATTTTATTTCTCAGAATAAACTCAAATTAAACCTTACTGCTTTGGGGGAATCAATCATGACTAAAGATCAATTAATGGTTCTTTCACCCAGAGTTGACATTGTTCATATCATTTATGTATCCATCTAAGAAAATACAAAATGTAGTGATTAAAACTAAGTTAAGTAAACAGTCCACTCCGGACTTCTGGCTATTAGGAAACATTCCTTTTGATAGTTGTGTACTATGTTTGTATATATACTGAATTTAAATGTCAATTATATTTTTTTTCACTATTTAAATTTTATTTTATGTTACTTACATATTTATTTTAAGATACAGGAATATACATCATTGAATACCAACTGCACTGCTATAGTTTCCAAGAAAATAAAAATAATAATAATAATAATAATAATAATAATAATAATAATAATAATAATAATAATAATAATAATAATAATAATAATAATAATAAAAAGATATCTTTCTATATATACTTCTCTGATCTTTATTCTAGATGTAACTTTCTCCAAAATACTTACTTTGCATCATCCATTATAGGAATACCAGAGGACGCCATACATTTCCACACAGTCTGCCAGTAAGCTGACAATCAAAGTAAATATGATTTTTGAAGGTCAGTTTTTTAGGTGCTTTTCAGAATTCTTGAAGTTTCATATCACTCCTGAATCTACCATTCTGCTTCTCAACCTTTGCTCTGGAAGAAAATATATGAGTTACTGTTAATCAGTTATTAATATCAAATTTAGTAGCTGTTAAAAATAATAAAAATATTATGAGCTTTTTGGGGGGTTTGTTTTAGCTTTCATTAAAGTAAACATAAAAACAAAAGGAATTAATGAAGTTTACTCAAGAAATGCTTTTATTTTATCTTATTTCTACAAAATACATTTTTTTCAGAAATATTTTAATTTTTTGTTTGTATGTAGATGTAAATTATCTGCAGTGCCAAAGCTATCACTTTCTTTCCAGAACAGACTGTCTCTACTTTAGCACTTCTTTCCCAACACTCCTTGTCTTTCATCAAATCATAGGACCTTTGATGTGTGAAATCCACGATAGGTTTAAACTTAGAACTGTAAAAACATTGATGCAAATCCTCTGAAGTATTCATAAACAATTAATTTTTTCTAGACTGATGCTCTGCTCCATTAGAAGTGAGTCACCTGAAGCAGAGTTAGAAGAACTGGAGTTCAATTGTATGCGGTAAATGACAGCTTTTATTTAGTCATTCTTTAAAAGAAACACATTGCAATTTTCAGAGTACAGCTGATCTCATGGTAAAATAGAAGTCTAATAACTAATAAATCATCTTCTGTTTTCTTTCTTTCTTCAAAATAGCTTTGAATAAGAAACTCGGACTATTTTCTTAGCTTGTATGTAAAGCTAAACCAAGGTGACATGAATCTTAGCTTTCATTTCTAAGAAAGATGGACATGCACCAGTTGTAAGTAAACATAGATAAGCATGGCTATGTACCTGGCCAGTAAATCACATAGTGTTCTAGTTATTATACAGTGATCAAAATGCTGTTATATGAGAAGAAAAATTTTTATATTCCTTTATCATGCTTATATTTTAATTTTCTTAAGTATGTGTGTTGACAAGACTTTTAGAGCTCATGGCTTCTTTGATTCACTCATATCCTGAATGCCTATAATTAACACTGACAAGGAATCACAACTAATATAACCTAAATCACATTTCAAACACATATTGTGAAACATGGTGCAGTATGTTAAGAAAAAATTGAACAACAACTAAACTTTCACAATTAATAAATTCAAATCATAATGTAAAAGGCTACAAGAACTAAAACAAACCAGAAGAGTGAACTGAACGGTGTACAAATTCTCTCAAATGTTCTTCTCATCATTTTCTGCTAGTCATTTCTCATGACAAAATCTTGGGGAAGCAAGCTAATTTCTTAAGCTTAGGTTTGCGTCCTCCTCTTTCTCCTTGTCTGTTCCAAGGCAGCTCTTAAACGCTTATGGGGAAAATGTCATTAAAAGATTCTCCTTTGCATGTGTGCACTGCCAAAAGATTAAAAGGTTCTCATACCTATATGACATGAAACAGGTTGATTGGAGATTCTTCTCTCTTCTGCCTCTAGGTATATTCAGTAAAACCTAAAGATATGGAAAAACATTTTCTGAGGCCAGATGCAGTACCATGTCTGTAGCAAAATCAAGAAGGACTTAAAAGTGTGAGTATGGAAGAAAAAGGTAAGCACTGGAAAGTCTGTGAAAAACTGGGGGAAATCCAAAAACTGGATAAATCTTGGACAAATATGTATGTTATGTAACCTTTTAGCCTGGCAAATTGGGTGACAAATATGTGATGAAAAATTATAGCAGTTTTGTTTTGTGAAGACAAAGTAGAAGAAAATCTGGAAAAAAAAAAAAGAAAAAAAAAAGAGAAAAGCAGAGGTACGTTGTGGGAAATTCTTCTGAAAATGCTCATGAGAGGTTATGTCCACTTTACAAATACAGTACTAATGCCAGTTTTTCATTTAAATTTTCTCAAGAATGTGTAGCTGCAGTATAGAAAAGACAAGTATGTTCTAAACTAAGTGTAGTAAAATTATTGAAAGATTATAAGATTTTTGTTACAGAATGGAAAAAGGAAGATACTGGAAGAAAAAGTAAAAGGATTAGGTGGAAGTAAATACTGATCAAATAGTTAATTGGAGTAATTACCTCCAATTAGGTAAAGGGCCCGGAGAAATTATAACTAAAGATATGAAAAGGTTGTAAATAGAGTTGTAAGATTAAAAATGTCTTATGGACCCAATTCTTTCTCCTTGGTAGCCCAGTAGAAAGTGTCCTACAGTACATGCTGTGAGGGTTGAAGTCTAGAGCAGGAAAGCACCATCAAAGCTGGATGTGAACTCAAGGAACATATTGAAATGTTTGCCTAAGGAGTAATAATTATTATTATAAATAAATTAATATCAATAATAACAGTAACACTAATAAATGAGAGTAGAAAAAAAAAAACACACAATAAATTAAAATTTAATCTCTCTATTAAATACTTCAAGTTATTTTGATGCATTTAATAGATCTGTTTCTTCATCCTATGCATAAGATGTGTCTGACATTCTTTCCACATGTGGTCATAGACACTAACTGGTTATGATGTCAAGAAATAAGCTCAAAGGTCTTTGGCAGGGCTGACAGTGTCTTCACATTCCCTCCCAAGCTACATAAATCAGGAAGAAGGGTGCACATCCATGGCAAAGATTCAGTAACAATGGGGCTTTTAAGAATGTTGATATCCTGGAACTTGTAGCCAGTGAATTTATATTCTCCTAGCTCTAGTCTCAAGATTGTGGTCAAATTTGGTCTCTTCCACATTATAATAACATACCTGTTTATTTTCAGTGTCTCAAAGTCATTCAAAATTGCTTTGTGTCAGACTGTGAAGAGAGATTGATTATGGATTTTCTTTGTTTTGTTTTAATTAACAGATAAACAGGTCATAAATTTAGTGAACTTAAAATTCAACCTGTACCTTTAATAAAAAAAATAATAATAATAAAAAAAAAAAAAAAACACTGAAAAGGAATTTTAGGGATAAAAACATAATTTGGGTTTTAAAAGGATAGTAAAATGCATCTGGATCTGGAAAGAGATTTGTCGTGGTGTTTTTTTTTTTTATTTTTCTGTTATTATATGTCACCACAGACTGTCTTTTCACATGTGCAGGCTAGTTCAGTTTTCAATGGAAGTATTTATTTTCTGACACTCAATTCATGTTTCTCTTTTTCTTATATTCTTTTTATCTAAGGGTGAACAGGGTCATAGATGCTCTTATGACAAAACAAAACATGAGATTTCTTTTCTAAATCTAATATTATTTGGAGAAAGGCATAAAAGTCTTGATGAAATATGCACGTTGGCTTGATTTAAAGTGTTTTTCATGCTGTACCATTTTGCTAGATGCCTTAGTTTCTGCATGTATTGCTATGTGTACTCAACAGAAAGATTGCTAATAAGTATTATACTTTACTATTTCCTGTTGAAATCAATGCCCTCAAGCACATTCTTGAGTCTTACAGTCTTACACTCTTACACAAATAGTATCACATTTCTGTAAAAAGCAAGGCAAATTTGTGAAGTTATGTTGCGTATTGAGTTCTGTTTACTGTAGAATAAAGACTAAGGTTTTCTTTTTCTTTTTTTTTATTTATTTTTTTTTTCAGTTTATATATTACAATAATTTGGAACCTTTTCCTGAACGTTATTTACTTTAACCAAAACAGAACACTGAACTGAGAAAGGTAGAGGCACAGGTCAGGGGCTCAGGGTGGGGAACACAGGCAGAGAGGAAAACACAAAAACAACAACAACAAAAAACAATAACAATAACAACAAAGAAGGTAAGATTGATTTAACTTTCAAAGACTGATGTTTATTAATATCTTGTTAATCCGTATCTGTTATAACTGCAGATGTTGTTATTAACAAACAACCCGGACACTGTTCAACAAAGAGGTTGAGTGTGAGTTCAGAAAATAGAGGCTAGTTCCCCTGTTTTTCCAATGAATAAACCTATTTACTTAGATCATATGGTCTAATTTCTGGGAACATGGTGACCAACATGTCAGAAAACGGCAGGTAAAGAACATGTTTTGCAGTCCATGGGCTGATGCACATTAAAGGCCTGTACAGGATGTGGAAGCTTTTTTTTTTTTTTTTTCTTTTGGTACAGCTATCATCAGAAGATAGGTTTTAAAAAACAAAAACAAAAACAAAAACAAAACCTAAAACTGTGAATGAAATTAAGTGATTTAACATTTGCTCTCAGATCCCTGTACTGTCATGGGAATAGCCATTTTTGGAGCATCTACTCTTTGCCTTTAGAAGTGTATATTTTTCTCCACTTGCTTTAATTAGGAGCTTATTTCAGGATCTAATAAAGGTTTTTAAAACTTAGGAAAGATGCAACACCAAAAGATTTACATGGGTACCTATTTAGTGTGAAAAAATATATATCCATAATCCATTTTATCTGAGAGTCTGTAGGCTTTGAAGCCAATATGGACTCAGTTAATTTTATTGTCTACACACTAATACAGAATTAAAATGAAATAATTGGTTTAATTCTTTTCATAGAGAGACATCTATTCTGGCTGTACCATCTGTCACTGTGCATTTCATTTCTGCATCTTTCAAGGGAAATTCCTATAACCACTTCAGGGGCTAAGAGTGGAGCCCCATATCATTATAAAGTTCCATTATAAAGTGAGCCAAGTTGCAAGTATTCCCCTCTGAAGGAAAGAGAAAGTGGTGTTACATAGAACTGAATTGAAATCCTGCATAAATTGAAATAGTGGATCTAGTAGTAGTAGCTGAAAACCATGACTAAAGCTGCACACTAGCAAAAATACCACCCATACCAATATCCTACTACCATGACTAATGTAACACAGCTTTAATCTGCTCACGGGGATCTAGGATGAAAAGACGAAAGAGAATGTCTTCCTTATTCTTCCCTATTCTCTCCTTTTCAAACCTCTTTCCTGAAGTGAGACAGATTTATTTTTTATTCTTGGAAAAAATAGATTATGTGAGAGAAGTCAAAATTCATTATTGTTTAATCTGGACATCGTTTTTTCCTAAAACATTATCAATCCCCCTGTAAGGCAATCCATTTTTCTTTTCCAGAACTTCAAATGTCATCTGGGAAGTTGGACTTTGTTCTTGCTAAAACGCTGAAAGAAGCATAGTGCGTAACACATCTAATACCCCCAAAATAAATTTTTGTGCTTCATGTTTTTCATGTCTTACAATAAAATGTACTGTTATTGCATTCCAGAACAAATTTAGTGTGGCTGTATATTAAAGAATTATACCACAGAATCATAGAATGGTTTGGATGGGAAGGGATCTTAAACACTAATTCCAGCCCCCAACCATGAAGGAGGGGGGTAGAGTGGAAAAGGGTTGTAATTAGCTGGGCGTGCCCCAACCTTCCAGTAGACCAGGTTGTTGGAGGCATCACTCAACCAGGCCTTAAATACTTCCAGGGATGGGGCATCCGCAACTTCTCTGGATAGCCTGTGCCATTTCCTCACCACCCTCAACTTCTTCCAAATAGCTAAACAAAATCTACCCTTTTTTAGTTTAAAACAATTATTCTTTGTCCTATGGCTACACTTCCTGACAAAGAGTCCCTCTTCTGCTTTCCTTTAGGTACTAGAAGGCTGCTATAGGGTCTCCAAACAGCCCTTCTCTTCTCCAGGCTGAACAATCCCAACTCTCTCATCCTCTCTTCATAGGAGAGGTTCTCCAGCCCTTTAACCATCCTTATGTCCCTTCTTCAGCGGGCAGGCTACGACTTGGTTGCCATCACGGAAACGTGGTGGGACCAGTCTCATGACTGGAGTGCTGCGATGCCTGGCTATAGGCTCTTCAGAAGGGACAGGCAGCACAGAAGGGGTGGCGGTGTGGCTCTCTATATTAGAGAGTCTTTCGATGTTGTAGAACTCGAGGCTAGGAATGACAAGATTGAGTCCCTTTGGGTTAGGATCGGCAGGGACAACAAGGCTAGTGTCCTGGTTGGGGTCTGCTATAGACCGCCGAACCAGGATGAGGAGACGGATGAGGAGTTCTACAGGCAGCTGACAGAAGTTGCGAATTCGTCAGCGCTTGTACTCGTGGGGGACTTCAACTTCCCTGACATATCCTGGAAGCACAACACAGCCCAGAGGAAGCAGTCTAGGAGGTTTCTGGAGAAAGTGGAAGATAGCTTCCTGACGCAGATGATTAGTGAACCTACCAGGGGTGGTGCCCTGCTAGACCTTCTCTTCACAAACAGAGGACTGGTGGAGGATGTGATTGTCGGGAACAGTCTTGGGCAGAGTGACCACGAAATGGTGGAGTTCACTATTCTTGGCGGGGCCAGGAAGGGAACCAGTAAAACCACTGTATTGGACTTTCGGAGGGCTGACTTTGGGCTGCTCAGGGCACTAGTTGGTGGAGTCCCATGGGAGGCGGTTCTGAAGGGCAGAGGGGTCCAGAAAGGCTGGGCGCTCTTTAAGAGGCAAATCCTAATGGCGCAGGAGCGGTCTATTCCCATGCGCCCAAAGATGAGCCAGCGGGGAAGAAGACCAGCCTGGCTCAACAGAGAATTGTGGCTTGAGCTAAGGAGAAAAAAGAGGGTTTATAATCTTTGGAAAATTGGGCAGGCCACTAAGGAGGACTATAAGGA